TAATGTTTTGCATACATTTTTAAAAAAGATATCTAATTAATGTACCCAGAGGGTAGCGGTATGCATGAATTATCTCTATTTCTGTAGAATTTATTGTACCTTTCGTGAGATCAGGTGGAACTGTTCACCTTTTTGTCGCAATTCATAAAGACCGTAATCCTGTTCGTGCAGAAGGGCCGATCTTTTTTATCCCCGTAGAAAATTCGCAACGAGTTAATACCGTGACACTTGTTTTTATCTGCGACCGATGCATCAATCCGGGGTATTACTTGATCCCGAAAGTATTTCGTCATAAAAAATCGTTTAGAATTTAATCAACGTTGAAAGAGACAGACATATGGTATAAAAACCAACAGCTAGTCTATAGTATTTTCAATTCTTCCAGAAAAACAGTGTATAAAATAACTAATCCTAACTCACGATTATTTTAATGATTGTACATAGAATTCCGATTGATACATGCCTGCAATTTACATTTCATGTTTATCTCACACTTCATGAAACTGTGACTTACACTTAAAAGTTTGAATACCATGAAGCATCAACGGATTATTAAAATTGTTCGTATAATAAAAGAGAAATTGCGAAATGACAGCGTGACTGACGGTGAAAATTAGCGTTATGGAAGTGGACAAGGTTCAATATTTTCCCAGTGAAACTGGGTAGAGCGATATTGGTCGTGTCTGTCGGGGCGAATACGAAAGCTAAGAAGGCAGAGGGGAGATCCTGTTCTATCTCGTCGATCCCGTTGAATCGGGCATTCCGTTTCGCCAGCTGCTCGCCTCTTATCGGGATTCCTGTTTCTGAATTAGCAGGAGAATTCCCAGCGAAGTTAGCAACTGCGCCAGGAACCGTGCTAAAAGGTTTCAAAACAAAGTACCCACTGCTTCTTTGTCTTTGCAATTCTTTTCTTGTATCTCTTTGATATGCTAATCTAGCTAATCCAGCTTTTTGAAAATTTTAAACTTATTCACGTTGCCTTTCACTTTGTAATCACAAATTTGAATTCCTGTTTAACTTTTTGCTATCATTTTTATATCGGTGTTACGGAATTGCGTTGCCCGAAAATTTTTTATAAGAAATTGTTTCTGGATTTCATGTCATGTTTATTTTTTGACTAAACTCTCGTCCTCCGACGATATTTTATTTTCCCCCACATCTTATAAAAATCAGAAATCTAAAAAATCATTCGATGTCTCGAATTAATTCTCGGTCGGGAGAATTTTAACGGCAGGAGAGAAGTCTTGTATTTCGAGGCGTCGTATTTTTTTCAACGAATCGTCGCCACGACATGAATATGCATTTAATGTATACGCAAACACCGGGGCGAGAATATCGCGGAATTAAGTAGCGTAAAGGGGAGAGAGAGAGAGAGACTGGTCTCCAATATAAATTCAAATTTCACCGCTTCCATTGTGCTCTCCTTTCCACGGAGGCGACCGATTACGGATTTACCCCCAGTGTTTCAATCCCTGCCAACCCGAAAACCCGATTTACCATTTCTCGAAAATAATACTCCGCTTTCGAATTCGAAATCGATCTACCACGTCCTATCGTGTGAAAACGACGAACAGTGAGCGATTCATCTTCGACAGAGGATCGTATCTCAAGAGCAGGCAATAATTCCTGGCTCGGGTAAAAGAGGAAGGACATTATTTACATGAGAGTTACATACACAGCTGGAGATTTAGGATAATGATAAAAATATTGGATCACGGCTTTCGCCGCGTTACATAAATTCATTCTTTCAGCCAACCAATTTCTCCGTCGATTGTTCGGCTGGAAAAGCTCACACCTCATCCCTTATTTCCTCCTTTATCCCTCATTGTTGGCTTTCATCCGGCGAACTTGGGTAAGAGAGAGAAGGGGTTAAGCAGATTAAGTCCTGAGAGAGTCAGCTACGACAAAGAATTCCCCGGCTGTTTGTTTCGAGAAACATAATCGGCCCTCTTCACCAGTTTAAGAAAATCCTCTCTCCGAGTAAACTTGCCATCAGGTCACCTGACTCGCGAATCGATCATAAATGCTTTTATTCTATCTAAAAGTTTCGTCTGTTCCTTGTTTCCAGCAGAAGAATTCGCAGCTCGAGCTTGTAAAATAGCAATAGAATTAAGAAGAAGAACTCCATTAAACGATTTGTTTCATTTTAAATGGTCTTACTGAAGAATTTCCTTAATCGAAGAACTGTTCCATATTGGAAAACTTTTCAAGAAATTATTCATAATTCGCAATCGGATGGAATATTATCTTGCGACGAAATAAAACAAATCTCATATTCCATGGG